TATTCGCCTGTCATCCTATGTATCCTATGTATCCTATGTACATGTTTGTATGTCCTATGAATGTTTGTTTTAAAAACGTTGCAGCGGCGCTGGGAACTGCAGTCTTAGATCTGGGTATGTTTGGCATCTGCAACTCTTCATGTACACATTAACCCTATTTCGGACGGGGAGACCTTTCAGGATTTTCTTGTACAATTGCCAAACGCCGCGAGACATTCAGCTCATATTTGGTGACTTTTCCTAAATGCTCATTGCGCACATCTCAGCAAAAAAAAAATGCCGGGTCAGGTCAGGTCAGGTAACCAGAGCGGGTTTGTTGACCCCACCTCAGAAAAGTTTGCAAACACGTCAGAGCTTGAGTTTTTCACGAAGTTATTTCCTCTCATCAAGTCTTCAAAACAGTACCTGCAGTATGTGTCGTTTGTATATCTCAGAATTTTTTATCTGTGACCTGAGGTTACGTCAGAGCCGTGACCTTTACATTGCAAGCCTATGGAAAAGTATTGAAATGCGACCTGCACCTCGAGTAAACGAGTCAAAACCACCCAATTCTTTAAGAATTATGACAAATTATCTTATCTGTAATGATCCAGGTGCCATTTACTGCCAGGGACACCGGAGAGGGTTATCTGAGCCGAGATCATGTGAGGTGATATCTACCATACATCAATGCTCACAATACTTACAATATTGACAATGCTTTTGCTTACAACACTTACAATACTTACGATGAGACCAGCAAGCACTCTGCCGTTACAGTTCTAACTTCTGCTTCGAAAAACGACGTTACACACATTCGCTGCCAGCATAACATGTATTGTTTGACAGTAACAAAATACAATTGACATCTGAACCCCAAACGGACCGCCATCCACTCAAATTTTATAACCCTGACCGGTCAGGGGGCGAATGGAGGTCATTTCCTGGGCATTACACTCAGCCCTTGCACAAAATATCTCACCTCACAGTGATCATTACAACAATAGCACCGACTTGATAGTGGATTTCAAAGTACTTGCATCAGCTCTTCCTGCTATTGCAGACGATCATCTCCTCAGGGTAATGTTGTTCGGGACATGAGCGAAGATCGTTTTCGGAGTTTCATAAGTGCTACTGCAACAGCCTGGCACAAAACAGGACTTGTACGCTCTTCTCTGCACTTTGCCCTTCAGTATATCACAAAAGAATTGTTTAGAATCCATCTTACGCTTCTTTCACAGTCTCCCTTGCCACCGTAGGGCGTAGATAGATTGCTGTTGCTGGTAAGTTAAGGCACGGTAGATAGAAATTACCTCGGTTCTCAACGCCTTAAGTTATTTTCATAAAAAAAGAACAAATAAATGATCAATAAGATGACAGGAATGTAAACATTTTAATCGTAAAGTAGTCCAAATATTGGAATGAGCTTTTGCTTTTCAGCATCCTCCGATTCATCATCTTTATCATTTGAAAATTCGAGGTACATAAAATGTTTACCACGCGCTCATGTTAAGTGGGAATATAGTACACGGCAGACACATCATTTTTTGACACTGAACATTTCATCCGTAAATGTTTTAGCATAATTTAAAGTTAAAAACAGCGCGAATGGCAGAGTGAAGCAAACAACATTTTTCACCCATTGATATAACATGTAATCTGTGGTGCGCCAGATGCGCCATTATTTGTCAACCGCAGAAGGTGACATGTGACGTAACAGCATCAAGAGCATCTTTTTTCAAGAACTTTTCAAAACAAGTTTCCTATCTTTCTTCCCCCATTTCTCTCAGCTTATTGATTTTATGAGGCAATGGTATGCACCATAAATTCTGTGAAAATAGTTTGATCATTTTCATGCATTCTTAAAAAATCGAGTTCCCAACCCCATTGCATACAAAAGCCCAAAGCGTGTTCCCTCGATGAAGCTCACGGAGTTTTTCTTCACTGTGAAGCCTAGTGACCCAGTCTGATCCTCTTTATACGATGAAATTTCCCCGGTTTATGGGCCGGCAATAACCTAGATCAAACAGAACAAAGTCGAAATGTCGGGACGGGGGAAGCTTACAATCAACGTTGTATCTGAGCGGTGAGCAATCTACTGAATTGCCTACACCAGTCATGCTTAGAATCAGTTACTGCCGTTACACAACTCTGTTTACAAGAATTTATTGTCGTGTGTGAAAACCACCTGATAAGAAGGGTTGTATATCAAAATGATTTAGTCCCCTCTTGAAAGCGTGAACAAAGAGCGAGCATCGTTAAAAGCACGGTAGATAACAACTGAAAATGCATGCCACCCTTTGGGATCATAAACATGATCTGCCTTTATGACCCAAAGAAATCAACCCTGACCATCCACCTGAAGCCATCTGAATCATCCAAATCAACCCTGAATCAACCCTGAGGGATCTTCCTCCGACCTGACCCTAGATAACCTTTCCTGACCTGGCCTGACCCCATACGTCAACATGATGTGACCTGCCCAAAAATAAGCCTTCTCCCAAAGGGATCTATAGCATCACCATACACTTGACACGCCCCAGTCTGTAAAAACCCTTTCTGACTTATCCTGACCTGACCTAGCCTGGTATGCCCTTACTTGACCTGATCTGGCATGCCCTTCCATGACCTGACCTGACCTGACTTTTTGCGGCAGGTGTTCGTCACACGCTGGGTCGATGCTGTATCGGTCCCATCACCTACACAACCGGCACCGGACTGCAGCACTGGAATAACATGCTACACTCAACCGGAAAGGCCATCAAGATGTGGCACGACCTCACGTGACCTCGGGTCAGAGGTAGTGACCCTCGGTCAACGGTCGTGACCTAGGGGTAATGGGTCATGACCTTGGGTCAACGGCCGTGACCTTGGGGCAATGGATCGTTATTCGTGATCTTTGGTCAGAGTATTGGCCTTAGGTCAGCGATTCGTGACCTGGGGTCAACGAGACATGACATAGGATTGTTCATCTGTGACCTCCGTTGACCTCATACGTTCGCTGTTGTCCTTATCTGACTTAATGCGACCTGAAACTAGTCTGACTAGTAACAATCTGGCCAGAAGGGACCAGACTTTGGATTGCTTTAATATCACCGCGTCTAATCTGAGACCGATATGTGGCGCCTTTGGATGAGTGAGCTAATGAATGAGCAACGAATGAGTAATGAATGAACGGATGGAAATGAAACAATGAAAGGATTATTGGAGGGCTTACGATGCGTACTAATTGTGAAACCATTCAGAAAGGCTGGCATTAATGAATGTGATAAGACATCCCATGTGCAGGTGAAGGTTTTTGAGACTGCGACCATGCTGCGACAGTTATCTGCAACAGCTGTCTGTGCCAGTATGTGACAGGACTCTCTGATAGTGTCATGACCGTATCATATTTTACCATGTCGCATGCTGTTCATGCAGATATGATAATGATGTGAAAGGTGTAATGGATAAGCCTGTGAAGCAGAGCGTCCATTTGTGCCATCTGCTGAATATATGACACATCCATAATTCACATTAGTTTATGCAAGCACCCTATGAAAGCAAAATTTACTTAATTAACCCTCGCCGGCCGAGGGGGGGGGGCGGGTGCCGCCCCCCCCCATAGGGTTTTTTCGCGATAGCTCCGAACACGCTGGCGATAGAGAGCTGAAACTTGGCATACCTGACCTTTGATCCAAGCCGCATCTTTTGACACCAACCGCATTTTTGGGTCAGGTCAGGTCACTGACCTATGACGTCATAAGTGAACCTCTGCACGGTCTTCAGATGTCGCAACTTCGCAACGCCCTCACTGCCAGAGGAGATGTCACAGGGAAATGAAACTTGCAGGATCTAGTATCCATTATGAGTCCCACAACTTGTATATCTCGGATTTTTCCTTAAGGTCATATGAGGTCAGGTCATTTTCGTGACCTCACCATTATAAGTCAATGGGGAAAAATGAAAACTGCTATTCTGGCGCCGGGAACGATCTCCAACTATCTCAAGCACACAGAATCGTGATTTGATGCACTCCTTGCAAGGTTAGATGCGTCACTTTTGCAATGTTGACCTTTCGTGACGTCATTTATGACGTCATCAAGGTCAAATTAGTTTTTCGTCAATAACTCTTGATCAAATTGAGCTAGCGAGTCGGGGAAGGCACCAATGGACTCAGGAAGGCCTGCCGAATCGAATGATATGCGACATGACCTCTTTCGACCAACTTCGTGACCTGGGGGTGCTGACCTGACCTTGACCTGAGGTCAACACCTCAAGTTGACCTGACCCGGACAAAAAGTATGTCATTCGACGCGCCTGAGCGAGGCGAACACGATGCTGCCAAAATCGGCGCTCTGCGGCCGTTTTTTGCGAAGTTATTCACCAAAAACTGAACCGTACCTTGGGGCACTTGACCTGACCTCAGAGGTCACCGGTTGACCTAGGACCTTAAAATCGGGTACCAATCTCTGCGTCTCGTAACGGCGCACACGCTCGTTTTTTCCGCGACGCGCTAGCTCCACCAGGGGCGAAACGGCGAGGGGGGGGGTCGTACCCGCCCCCCCCCCCCCCTCGGCCGGCGCGTATGTAGAAAACCAATAGGTCCGGCGAGGGTTAAAGTACCTACCGGCTCATTTCAAAACGTCTGCAAAACAAGGTCTGCTTACGACTTGACTTCTCCCCAGTTTCCCATAGCAATGAGATATGTTCTCATTTTAAAACCACTGCAAATTTATAGCACAACCATCGATCTAAAACTCTTCATATCCATTCTTCACTCAACGACCCCAGCTTTACATACAAGTCGTGCCGAGTTTTCTGACCGGGTCAAGTTCCCGCTGTTCCTAGGTGGCCTTTGCTCCGCTATGACCCTGCGATAGCGCCAACAATAAAGCGCCATTCCCGTGACGTCATTACGGGAGAACGGCCGATATTTGCTGCCTCAGATTATGAAAACACATTGTCGCTGGCAAACATCAAAGTAGAGCAATGGCGCAAAGTTTGGGTTGCGCATACCCACAGTTATCAGACAATCCAACTTGCATTTTCTGCGTTTATTTTTTGGCTATACAGCAAACCGCTAAATATAACAAAACAACAGTAACAACATCACGCACCAGCACGCGTCATCAGAAGTTTACACCTCTACCGTTCTGATAAACTGCGTAGTGCTGCCCCGCGCTGACTGGTAGAAGCGGCTGGTAGGCACGCATGTACCCAAAACTGCTCGGAAATGCCGGAATAAAAGCAAAACTCCACTCGGGGTTGGCGAGCTGTGAACTAATGTCTGTGAAATGAACAAAGGGGCAAACGTGTTAGTTTCATGATAGCAGTGGTAATTGTGACATGCACCATTAATAAATTGATGTTCAGCACTTCAGGGGAGGCTCATGAATGTCTTCAGCAGTTCCCTGGGTGCAATTTGATTGTCTTTAGTCAGATAAATCGAATGGCAATGCATAAGCTCAATCACAATGCCAGAAAAAGGCGGACAACGCCTTCGCACAGCTTTCATTTTTCAAACACTTACCAGTTTTCGATGCATTGTTGTTGTTGTTGTTGTTGCTGCTGCTGCTGCTGCTGCTGCTAACGCTGCTAGTGATGCTGCTACTGCTGCTACTGCTACTGCTACTGACAACTCTGTTAATCAAGCTACCTCCACTGGCTCTGACACCACTGATGGAGCCTCCGGACACCCCACGTGACGTCAGAGAGCTACACCTGAGTCGCGTACAGCTGTAGGTTCCATCAGAGAGACAGTGGCATGTATTGCAGGCGATCATTTGGACGGTCCCGAAAACACATCCGACGGTCTTCTGATTTGGTTTGTCTGTGAATGGGGAGGGGGAAAATAACAGTGCAGATTAAATTTGATGAGGTTTGCACTGATAAGAGGTTAAATATGAATCCAGAATGTTTGTTTTGGCACTTTTTGATAACTGATAACTATTATTTGAGGACGTCGATGATTTCCCCGCCTAACATCTGGCTTACGACGCTGATTACATTGCTGATCAGTTTGCACAACCACCTGCATTTCAGCAATCATCACTTAACAAACGTCACTTCCATGCATTTGCATCTATCGAAAGCACAGTTGCATGCATATACAATATACATGCCAGAATGCACGTCATAAATTCCAGCGCAACATTTTGATCAATTGACACATTCGATACAATTGATACATTTGAACAGTGTCACTCTGCCAAGCGTTCCAGCGGCAAACTTACATTGCGGGCGGGCCTCCACTTGGCATCCCCAAGCCAAAACAAGCACCACCACTGCAGCAAACGATCTCACTGCCATGCTGAGGACTGTGTCAGGCTTGGCTATAACCACCCACCCCTCACGACCCTCCGCGTCCTCTAGTGCGCACGTCCGCGGGCGATGAACCTATACCACTTATACCATGACTGGGCGGGTTTGGTGGGCGGGAACCGGGTCCCGCCTCAGGGCAAGGCCTGGTTTTTATCGGACGATAGGGACAGGGACCGGTGTTGGGGTGAATGGGGAAGATGGGGGAGGAGGTCTTGTTGTCATTCGGTTCAATGGTTCTTTTAGCCAGAAGTACCAGCCACATATAAAGTAGTTCATGAGCGCCGATGGTTATCATAACCGTCTGTTGTTAAATTGCAATATCTCCTGCGGCTGAGTTTATGTCATTTTCTATCGATATCTAAAGCAAACGTCGCAGCAGATAGAATGATGATAAATAAGGGCTTCCGTATACTTGACTCTGGCGATATCCCACGAAGTGAAAATGGTTGCAAACGAAAATGAAGAACATCCATTTATTGTCATCATATGATTAACGACATCCGTAGTGTTGCATATCTCTGAGCGCAGGTGACGGTAGGTCATGGGAATGATCAGATGGGTGAGCCCTCCGCATTAAAAATATAGCAATAACAATATCATCATGATGTGTCAACAATACACACAAGGTGCGGCAACAATGTTGTCATCTCCAACGTTACATAGGTGCCGAAGAAATATATTTAATTAGAGCACATAACAATGAAGACTGAAGCATTGACTTCGAATGACAGATGATTTCTTGACGCTGTGAAATTCCAGCATATATGCATGTGATGGCTTTTTTCAGGCAGTCGCTCCGTTGTCGTTGCCCTCTCCTCCCGATTACTTACTCGTCATGTTGTTACCCCTGTTGAAACAAAATAACCAATTCATTTTCAGTTACAATGTGATGCTTTCTGGACGAGCATAAATTTTGAAATTATGATTCAACGAATTTTGATCATGACATCAGGGCATGGTGGGACGAAAAGGCCCATCGAAAGTTGTGTACAATGTACATACAAAATACAATAAAAAAGAATCATAAAAATATAATTACCCTGAAGTTTCCAAGCCTTCCGAAGTTAGGGGGAAACCGGCTTCCACCTCCGGGAAACCTTCCCGGAAAACTCCCCGGGAAGTTTCCGGGAAAATTTACTGGCAGCGGACCTGCGAAGAGAGACCGTTTGTTATCGCTGAAAGTCTGCATAGATGAGAAACAAATCCGTCGCAATGATAACACAAACTTTAAAATAGGTAAACCTCGTATTATTTCATAAAAATAAAACCAATCAATTTCATATCAAATCAAATTTCTACAAGTTCAAATTTCACTAAAATGTTATCAAGCCGTAACCATCTGAAACAATCAATCTACTTTTTACTTAACAAATACAAATTAATGCAACCATACATGACTGACAAGTAACAATTAAAGGGACCCTCCCACCTTAACATTAGTTTTGAGTTGAGATAGCCAAGTTTGCGGCCAGGCTCAGAAACCACCATTTATCCTGGTCGCAACCCCCGCAGCTTTATGGTGTTCAAGAAATTTCTTCCCTTTACTTGCAGGGTGGGACCAGCGTGGTAATAATCTGATGACGTCATCAGGCTTTCGAACGTCCGTTAAATGTTTGACTAAAACGTTTTGTAGCACGCGGTGGTATACGCTGCTTTGCGCGCAACAAATGCCGCACTTTCAAATAAAGTCGCTAGGAACAGCGGAGATCCCAAAAAGTAAACAAAAGTAAAAGTCTAATATCTTGAAAACCGGTGAATATTTTTCGATGAAATTTGGTAGATATTCGTTTTTGCTCTTTCTGAACCGAGCGACATCACTTTCATGCCAATTCATTAACTTTTTTGAAGGTGGGAGGGTCCCTTTAACAGCAGCATGATTAAAACAAATAAGTATCCTCCCACAAAAAAAAAACAGTGGACTCACGCGGGCGCGGCCTTCCTCCGCCGGAGGCGCCTCCTCCGACACAGGCCTTCAGCGTACAGCCGAGGACCCCGGTCGAGGAGCACGTGCACGTGTTACAGTCTCTCTGAACCACACTGCCGGGCCGGCAGCGGCCCGAGCCGCCTCCGACTGGTGGTGAGAGGAGGGACGGGTTAGGTGAGAGACGTAAGAAGGATAGGGTAGGGAGATGACGTATCAAAAACAGGTATAGCAGTATGAGACGGAATAATCATAGTCCAACAGCAAATGGGAAAAGTTCCCGAAACGGGCGCTTCCATGGGATCGAAATAATCCTAATCCAAGATTGAAGCATATCATCAGGTACGAGATGCGAAGATAAACTTGAAAACATATTATTAGCTACAATAGCATTTGTAACAATACCCTTTTGTAATTGAATGTCCTTGTATCCATCATAAAAGCACGAATCTTACCACACCAATACAAAATATTATGGGACATCGCTCACTGTTGCAAGCACGAGGCACCAAAAGCCTTTCACTACCAAAAACGCAATCCAAATAAGGACATAGTGTAGCAGCTACTCACATTGTGGGGCCGCGCTCGCTAACACCAAACAGCACACCAAAACCACCAATATCATCACACTCTTCATCTTGCACTTAGCGCTGTACCCCTCAGTCTCCGCGTCTCACTAACGAATGACGATGAATCCCAGACGAGTCACGCATTTATATCCCGTCAGGCCAGAGCCAGTGCCGCGAGGCGGAGGGATTCCCAAGACCCCCCCCCCCCTCCCACCTTCCCTTCCTCTTCCATCTTCAGACCGGGCACCAATCGTGCGGTTCTTTCCCACCCATCCCGCCTCCTTCGATCAGCCGTGAGATAGTCACGACATGCCTATTAGCCGTTCGTGACCTGACTAAAATGCCGTGAATAGGGACCGTTCACAGCTGACTGGAGAGCCTGGAAAACACGCCTCTGGGTGACGCCCGCCGAGGGTTCCGGGCGGATGTCGGTGTTTTGTCCGGTGTGGTCTGAAGGTCATTGTGAGTGGTGGGCTTTAAGGTAGCCCGACATGCAACCATGCATCTGTTGTTTATCTCAGGCATGCAACGCATTATTCAGCTGGTGAAATATCACATAGGAAGTGAAGTCGGTTTCCGACAAGCTAAACTAACTACAGTTTATCCTGCTACTGATTCGTCTCTTGGATGGGCGACTTATTGCACTTCTCTGCATAAACCATGAAAATGAAAAGGTTAACGACCAAGCATTTTATGTGCGATCCATTGCAGTTCTCTTTTTCATTTTGCCTGTCACCAAAGGCACTGAATGACCTAGTATGTGACCTGCATGTTGAGCCCGGGTCTCACCGTTCATCACATGAAAAAATGTAACTAAAACAATTATTCATCAATGTGTCTCTACTGAAATATTGCTTCAAATCTATATGCAGTTGCATTCGCACATGACCTCGCTTCGTTAAGGCCAAAAGCAAAAGGCTGGCCTTCACCACAACAAAACAGCAGCTTCCTGTTCTATCAGAGGTCAGGGCGTAAAACTTGTTTTCCAAACACGTTTCATCAACTACGGCAGCGAAAGCTTGTTAATCTCCACAGAGGAATGAGAGAGCTCTACCGTGATATTTTGACTTCACTTCTTCCGTTCTTTCGGAAGAGAATGAGCTGGGATGCAATAAAATGTTGTTGTGAGAAGCGATGGTAGGTACTGTGATGTGCCGTGTTGTTCTGCGCTGTGTTATGATGTCTTGAGATGCGGTGAGATGCTAAGTTAGGGACAGAAAAAGGGAAATAGAAGGTTAGAGAGGGTTAGGGAGAAAGATACTTCAGGGAGGAGAGAGAGAGGGAGAGAGAGAGAGAGAGAGAGAGAGAGAGAGAGAGAGAGAGAGAGAGAGAGAGAGAGAGAGAGAGAGAGAGAGAGGGGGTAAGACGTTGACGTATCAGATAAAGCCACGTTCATTATTGCAAGCCGCGTCATACGCGCCCGGTTATTAACCGCAAGGTATGGCCGGTATTGGCGAGCCACTGGGAATCCCACTGCCCTGAGGCGCCGGCCCGACGGGGTACAAGTGCGCTGTCAGTCTCAGTGGCGTCGTCACTGCCGCAGACGAGACGGACCGGTGACTGTGAGCTAGTGGAAGATGATGGTGAAGAATATGGTGGTGATTGTGTTGGTGGTGGTGTGTGGGCTGGTACTGGCTAGCGCGGAGCCACAGTGTAAGTTGGGCGCTCTTCGAAACTTTGGTTTGTTGAGTTATAACGAGCAACACCCATTTTATCTGTATCTCTGTATCTGACTTCGTAAGAAAGGTGGTAATGGCTAGAGCATTAAGTTGAAAGACGTTTTATTGCTAAAAGCATTTTGAACTAATTGACATTTTAAAAAATCATAAACTAGGCAAAGTTTACAAATTTCTAACAACGTGAAAAGTGAAAACGATGCAATATATCAATCCCACTTGGAACCATGTCACGCGTCTGTACCGTGCATTTACATTCTATTTTTACAAACGACCCCAAAGCTCGCGTGTCTGACACCTATCCCCCCCCCCCCCCCAGTTAGTGGCGGCTCGGGCGGCTGCCGGCCGGGCACGGTCACCCAGCAGGACTGCAACACGTGCAGGTGCCTGCCGTCCGGGGGGCTGGCCTGCACCCGAAAGGCCTGCCTCGGAGGACCCTCCAGCGGCGGCGGCGGCCGACCCCGTGAGTCTCGTATTGATTGGTGGAGTTGTTTTCAGCGAGATATATTGATTTAGAAATGATATATAGATCAAGAAATGAATGAATAGATGAATGAATGAATGAATGAACGAATGAATCAATGAATCAATGAATGAATCAGTGAATGATTGAATGATTGAATGAATGAATGTATGAACCAATGAATGAATGAACGAATGACTGAATGAGTTAGCGACTGGATCTTTTAATGGCTAAACTAAATGACGTAGCTAAAAACTAAAAAAAACCTGAATTATAGGAAAATTGACCGTATGCCATGAACTTTGTTTCTGTCGTCCACAGGTCCCATTCCTCTCCCCGGAAACTCCAATGGAAATGGACGGTTCCCTCCCAACTTCGGAGGAAACTTTAACCCTCGCCCCGTTGGGGGGGGCCATTTTGGCCCCCCCCCCCTGTGGTTTTTCCTGAATAGCAAGAAAACAGCGGCGCGCAGCGCCGCCAAATTTTCAGTACCTTCCCGGGCATCAATTTGACACCTTCACACCAAATTTCAAGTCTTAGGTCACCTTAGGTCAGGAGTTATTGAGGTCAAACTGAGGTCATGTTCGAGCAAAAATGAGCAAAAAACATGCAATCTTTAAACGCTCACCAAATCTACAGTTATCAAGCAATTTGAAAGTTCTTTATATGGTCTAGTAGACAAAAAGCGGCGCTACAAAACTGCTATCTCGGATTTTCGAAATTTTGGGTTTTTGACCCAAAAAATTTCAAAAAAATTGATTTTTTTTAGAAAAACTAAAAAAAAAAATCCAAAATTTTTTTCCGAATTTCGAAAAAACCGGAATATATGTGATAGTCCCTGCGCTCTTCTATATACATACCAAATTTCAGATCGATATCTTGTTTTTTGGCCAAGTTATAGCCAAAAAACTGTTCAAAAATGATGACGTCAAATTTTTTTATCTCAATTTTTAGCGATTCTAGACCTCGTACGGCAAAACAAAGACCACCATTGAACTCCCCGTGACGAGCTGCGTCGATTCGATACCCATTTTATGCAAAAATATCAACTTTGAAATTTGACCTAATTTGACCTGACCTTGACCTGACCTTGACCTGACCTTGACCAAAACGTTACCTAAGCTGGCCCCAAAGGCTGCCTGACCCACATAATCGCATTTGTCATGTAAAATGGACCATAAAACACGTATCACACGACACTTTCATATTGTGACCCCCCAGTGACCTGACCTCTGTGACTTGACCTGGTATCAGTGACCTCAACTAGCAAAATATGTGTTTGAAGAACATTTCCCCATCGATGATTTTCAATGAAATGCATTTTACTCGATTTTACAACGCATTTCTTGAAATGCCTGTAAACGGTGAAAATTGGACCTTTGACCTGACCTGTGACGTCATCGGTTTGACCTAGGTCAATAAAATTGGGTCACAAGGTAGTTCCCTGATAGGGCTATCCAACACCGTTTGCGGCTTGTCGCTAGGTTGCGTGGTTCTCGAGATCTTAGGGGGGGGGGCCAAAATGGCCCCCCCCCAACGGGGCGCGTTGCTCGGCAGAGCCCACCGGGGCGCGGGTTAATGGAAATGGGCGGTTTCCGTCGAATTTCGGTGGCTTTGGAAACGTCTTCAGGGTATGTATTTCAAAATGTCTCTTTCTTTGTCGTTGCTATTGCTATTAGCTCATTAGTATCATCATTATCCTTAGTAGTATTATTAGTACTAGTGTTAAATTTGCTATTATGATTTGATTGCCAGTTTCTTAAAAATAATTAGGTATATTCGAATCTGTGTAAGACCAAAGCATGAGCGAAAATTATCCAGCAAGCACTGGCAAAGGGATGACCTATCACTGGCGGTCGCAGCCGCTAGCAAAAGGGGGGGCCAAAGTCACACTCGCGGGACATAACATTTATCCGTCACCGGGAGGGGGGGGGGGGTGATCGGCTAATTTTTTACGTCCACGAGGCGCCGCGCAGTTGGCATTACTTATGCTTCGTCTATCTCATTCTTACGTGAAATATTTAAGCTCAATTTAAGGCAAAATCACCAGCTCCATTTCCCGTCCCACGGTGCTTCCACCGGTCGGGCCACTGCACCATGACGACGGATCGGTGTAGCATAGGTATACTGGAAGGTCAGGCACGCGGATTCATGACCTTACCACTATAAAACAATTCGGAAAAGTACAGATACCTCTTGCTTTGAACAAGCATGTGAAACCCAGAGAGCATTTTCAGACTATGACATTTACCCATATAGGTAGGTACAGTCCACAGCAGAAGTAATGTGGGGTTTCAGTCATGGGTATGCTCTGCTTCTGAAGCTTAGGAACGATTAGCCAGACTACAATGAAACTTTGAATGTAGCTTATATGTATCGTCACCCTTGCAGCTGCAACTTTAGCTATTGACATCTTCTTTTCGATCACTCCGCATTAAACAATCGCCAGTCAAAGCCAACCGTTGAGATTGGTAAAACCCTACATTACTTTAGCGGTGGGCTGTACCTAGTTGTGTGGCGGCGGGAGAGCGTAGGTACACCGACCTCTGGAGACCCCCACAGGTTCCGAGCTTTCAAAATTGGCATCTGAGGGCCGCGCGCGACTCCGCGGGGCTTCGCAACGGCTCTATTGGGGCTCACTCAACCTGCCTAGTCCTGCTAAAAAGACTGGCCCTGAGCCCTAAGGACTTCATCAGTCTCTGCCAGCCCCAGGACCCACACCGGCTCATGGGGTCCCGACGTCGAAATATGAGGGAATCTGCGCTGGACCATTAGGACTTAAAGTAATCTCGATCAGGACCAACGTAAGGCTGTGCCGGAGACTGCGTGAGCCCTCTGATCTTCAGAAACCCACCCATGTATGTTTTCACGTAGAGGCCAGTTTGGGGCCCTCAGAGACCAATACAGGGCCTGGAAACTACAAAGGCCAGTAGTTTGAGACCATCAGAGACCGAGTTGGGCTCTCAGAGGCTAATGTGGGTCCTTACTCATTACAGGCCAACATGGGCCCTCAGAGGTCAGCGTGGGGCCCTAAAAGACCGGCATGAGCCGTCGTTGGACCCCAGAGGCCAGCAGAGGGCCCTCAAAGGCCAAGAGGCCAATGCAGGCCCTTAGAGGCCGGCATCGGGTCTTCAGCAGCCAGTGCGGGGCCCTCATTGGCACCTAAAGGTTCGTCTTGGGACACCAGAGACAGAAATAAGGCCACCAGAGACCGGTGTGAGACCCTCAGACGCCGGTTGGGGCCCCTGAGGCCGGTTAGGGGCCCTCATAGGCCAGATGTGGGGCCTCAGAGGTTGATGTAGGCTCTTAGCGGTCAACGTGGGCGCTTGACCGCCACTGAAGTTCCCTCAGAGGTCAGTGTAAGACGCTCAAAGACCGGTGTGGGAGCTATATTAATAGCTGGGCGTGTTTTTTTTAGCCTCGTGACGATCGAATAATTGTCAGGGCCCCATACACCTATATGGGGGCCCATTGGTTGTTTGAGGGGGGGGCAAATGATATGATGGCCCCCTTTATTGACCTTTGGGGGGGCATGGCCCTGATGCCCCCCCCCCCGCGACCGCCACTGTGTACACATTACACACATGCCTCTGAGATTACATACTAGCTCACGCAAACTCTATGCAGGCCCCGGAGGTCCCACGCCAATCCCACGAAACCAAGCCGGCATACGGCGTCACCACCGGGCTTCTGAGGTGCACAGCACCAACCCATGAGGTCTTACTTTAGTGTCTTAGAGCCAATCTCCTTTAGCAGGGCCCACCCGCCACTGCCGAAGAGGGTCTCATTGCTGGGCCTACGAGAGCCTCAAGTAAACCCACGCTGATATTCCATATAAGATCCGGCCATACTCGTGAACCGGTGCCAGCGACGCTGACCGCCAAATTGACAGAATGCGAAACTGAGCCCACTCATGAGTGAAATTCACGTCCTTTGATGGCGCAAGAAAGAAAATGAAACATGCGAAAAGCTTTTCAAGGACTTTTGTTCGATCTGAAAGGTGGGGCCAAAAGATAGTATGGCCCCACCTTTCAGCACCAAAGGGGGGGCCCTGGGACCGCCTATGTGACCTATCTACCAGCAATAGCAGTAGCAGTAACAATAATTTTCTTTTTACAGGGATAGTACTTATCTCTACGTTAGTAAGATCCCAAAGTGGTTGATTTGAAGAACATAACTCGGCGACATCATCCGCCACATCACGGGCATTAGCAAATAGCAACCGAGAAACTCGCAAGACAAGTGGTAATGATATAATATGTGATAACGGCCTCGCATGAAGACTGTAAAGCTTGTTACGCCAATGTCTTTGCATGCGCCGCGGTCTTTTAGAAAAAAAAACAGAGAAATATGATCGATAGTAAAGAAAGACACATGAAGAATGGGACCATAGGTGCTGATTAAAACACAGAGAGCTTATGTTGTTTTTATGTTTATAATGGCAGTTTACATTTCGCAGCGTTTGTTATGACAGCATGACGATGTAATTACACTCTTCATCTCACATGACAATATGTGTTTTCCTGAGTCTGTGTGAATTGTGAACAATGCATCGTGTAACAACTTCATTACTGACGACGCCGATTCTGTAACATTAAATCAGCGTTCAACTTCAAACCACGAAATATTTTACGCAGGATCGCCCATACTAATATTTCAGTTCAATAATAAATATCTCTTCCATTTCACCAACCCGAAAACCAAGTCTTTCAGTCATGGCCTGACCCAACTGTGCCTAGTAACCGGTTTGCCGGCACCATCCGACTAAAAATTGGACAACCATCTTCGCTGCCGCTGCCTTCTACCATTGACCTCGTCAGGGGCGCGGGAACTACTTTCCGACTGGGGGGGGGGGGCACACCATAATAGAGATTAACCTAGGGTACCCCCAAATCTAGTTTTCTCACCGGTTTTAGGCCACTTATTTTTCATCCCTTGGCTTTTTCAACAAAAAAGAAAACATTTGCAAAAAAAGTGTGGTATTCCGTCTCAAAGCTGTGGGGGCACCGCCCCCACGGCCCCAGAGTTGGGGGGGGGGGGCAAGCTGCCCCCACTGCCCCCCCCCCCCCTCGGCTCCCGCGCCTATGGACCTCGTACAAGAGAATGCATTTTGATTTTATTGCGTGCGTGGTGCGTACACAGAGCTATGTACGGGTTATGAACGTTTTATGGCTATCACATATTGCAGGGGAAGAGTACCAACTGCTGGTTTATCATTTATCACCAAAAGTTAATGCCTTATAGCGATAACTTGCAGCGATGTGGAAAGCGATCAAACAGCCATGGCAGAGATGCATGGCCGACTTGAGAGTGCAATATAAAAGGAGCACCGGGTGGCCGGTGATGGGCGATATGAAGCCCAAAACAAATCGTCCATGATCATAAACTAAACAAAAGAGCATTAAATGATCGAGAGATCGAAAAGTTCTTAAATCATGACATTGGACAAAAGTTAGGTACCTATGTCTCTTCTAGATAGAAATAAAGATCATGACATTGACAATTTCAAAGAAGCAGGATAATAATTGGGGAAAATAAGCCAACATTATTGGCAATGCAACGTTCCGTTATTCCGTTTGCAGCGTTAATATTTTGCCCACGTAGAGCAAGTTTCTGGCTCTGGTTTACACACAAGCTGCGAGTACAGTGCCACCTGTTGGAGGAAGTCATATTAGCGTTATGTAGGTGACGCTGTCAGTCACAAACCAGGGATACGGTCGTCAGTCAGAGCTCTGTTCAGGGCTTCGGAGAGTCAGACAGAAGATCGGAGAGAAAGGTCGGAGCCGACAGGAGTCCGGAGTCAGAGTCGGAGTAAGGGAGACTCCACAGCGGCTCAGAAATCCTGGCTCTGACACACCTACATCTAGCTATGTGTTGAACGCGCGACAGTGTCCAGCTTGCCACGGCCATGAGAGATCCAAATCCAGTTTGGGATGCAATTATTAAAAAACCACAAACTAGCAATCACTACTGAAGCGTTTCCACAGTTCAATGAAGGAAAATTATGTCTGTATTGTTTTCTGTACGACTGTGACTCACGATCATGATACAAAGAGCTCCCATTCCCAGCCCAATTGCATTCCTCGATAACTATAGTTATTAACCGATATCATAACGCGTAAGGCGCAACTCTGGCACTCCGTCTAACAAATCATTTGAATAAATCACGTTCAATTCTGCATATCAACAGAACAACTGCAGCGCTGTATCAGATTATGTCATCAACCACAAACACGTTTTCAACATAGGCACTTTAACTTGCACTTTGATAAATAAATTGTTCTAAATAGCTGCACTTTAACCCGCGCCCTGGTGGGGGGGGGGGGGGCTATTTTTTGCCCCCCCTCCAGACTTTTCGATATATCTCGAGAACCGCTACGCCGATCGTCACCAAACTTTCAGTACCCTCCCGGACATCCATTTTACACATTGTGACCAAAAATTTTTCCATAGGCTATGATAGGTTGGCCGAAAATGACGTCAGAGTGACGTCATGTTCTGCCGTTTTCGACCCAAAAAAGGGTTTCGCGGGAAGAGCTGTCAGGCCTATAGCTTTGCAAATACAGAAAAATGATAAAGACATAAAAGCTGTAGAATCGACAGGACTACAAAACTGCTATCTCGGATTTTTGAAA